ACAGCTCAGCATCTCCATATATAGCTTCACTTAGAGCAAAGAGCGGAACATCCTGGAGGAAGTCCCTACGACTTTTTTCAGGCCGGCAGTGGCAACAGAGGAACATCAGACCAGGGTTTCTGGATGTTTTGGCATCATTATTTCTGGGCTCAACTCTGCCAACCATGCTATCTGACAGTACGACTTCCTCACTCATGCCCTATAGAACTACACTGACTAGGTGAAAGAAATAGAGCAAGGTGGTAACACTATCCATCCCATCAGAGCAGGTAAATACTCTAGCCCCTTCTAATCCATCCTCAAACCAGGAGCCAAAATGATCTTTTTAAAACACAAATATTATCCTGTCACTCTTCAGTGACATAGCTCAGGAATGGGAGGACCTAGCAGGTGTAGCATGACTTTGGTCTTACACTACCTTTGTAGTTCACTCTCCAGCCACTAAATTCCCCTCACGCAAGTTGTACTGGCCTTCTCTGCTCCACCAATAAGCCAATTCCTTCTCATTTCAGAGCCTATTGTCCTTTTTCCCCAGAAAGCTCATCTTCCCGCTTTGGCTGGCTAATGCATATTCATCTCTTAGGTTTTTCTGACCTATCAAGCCAGATTAGGTCCCCGTTTTATACTCTGATTACATGGTAGGTATTATTTTCCTTCATTGTACTAACACCATTCTAATTACCTAACCATGTTATTACTATTTTACTGCCACAAGACTATAAACTTCATGAGGGCAGGCAGGCACCTACTTTGTTTAGTGCCTGACACAGTATGTGCCAATTTTCTTGGAAGGAATGAAAGGAAGGAGAGAAGGAGGGAGGTAAGAAGGCAGAAAAAGAGTGAAGGAGGAAAGGAGGAAATGATATAGGAAAGCAGGCAGGGAAAAGGCACAAAAAGAGGAATAGAGATCTCATTGGGTCTAATTGGGAAGATATTTGATTTTCCACCTCTAGAGGGAAAGCTGGAACGGTTAAATGTAGCTCTTACCTGAGGCCTCAATACTTAAAGGCAGAAGTTGAACATCAGAATTTTGTCCATGGGATAATGCTGAGTTCAAACCACAGAAGTAGGTCCCAATGGATCATCAGAATAAAGGGGGTCTGAGATGAGTATTAGGTATAGAGCAAATGATAATGGGAAAAGCATGGAAGATGAAGGTAAATAAGGAGTAAACTAAACGAATTCAAGAAACTGTAGGTCAAGGCTATCAGCTGGGCTTATTTCTTGTACCTAGTGGCTTTTTATGCATGGACAAAGCAAGTCCAATTAAAGGGACATAGATCAGATACATGGTTGCCATATGTAGATATATATTGCTCCAATAACTTAATAAATCGGCATTCTTGTATATAAAACGTTGTGTGTGTGTGTGTGTGTGTGTGTGCGTGTGTGCGCATGGACCGATGGCTTGCTGATCTGTGAAAAAGATGGTTTTTTGAAATTGTGCTTGAAATCCTTGGCTAAAGCTGGCAGTGCTATTCCTAAAGTTAGGTGATTATGGTGCCCACTTGTAATACTTGGAAAGATAAAACAGCTTTACTTTCCCTCCCCCTTTTCTGCTCCAGCATTGATTATCTTAAACTCAGCAGCAGATAGCCACCACAGAACTAACTAGTTTGCATTTTCTTAGCCTCTCAGCAGCCTTCCTGCCAGAAGTATTCAACCTCTCCAGGAGAGAGAGAGAGAGAGAGAGAGACTGGTTAATTCTGGGTATGCTAATGAGATTGAATTAAATTAGAGTGTATGCCATTTAAAGCTTAAGACTGGACTGGACCATGATACCCAGCCTATATGCTGGAGCTCAGTGAATCTCTGCCTAAGCAATCAGCTGGCCCCTCCCTTTCCTACATCTCCATAGCATCCTCTTTTGAAATTCAACATTTTGAGCCAAAGTTATCAAACTCTTAACTTACACATTGTCTCATATTATGTCCCTTCTTGATTGTCAGCTCCTGGGGGATAAGGAGTGTCTAACTCATTTTCTCATCTTCTACTGAGCCTAGTACAATGACTTCAAATAGTAACTGCTTAAAACATTATTGAATGAATACCACTATATATTTCATAGGCACTGGGAGTGATTACTCCAACGAATTTAACTTCTTGAGGAAAAACTTTTAGAATTGAATTGCTTCTAAAAATATAAGGAGCTGAACTAAATAATCTCTAAGGCATTTCCAAAATGTAAACTATTGGGAGTGACAAGGTTACATCTCATATGTGTGTGTGTATTTAGTCTTTCTATAATTTCTAGTATATTATTGGGCACATAGCGGGAACTCAATAAATTTTGCAGTGAACTAACTCCAAAATAAATGTATTTAAGTTGAGAAGAAGCAGAGGTATGTTTCTGAAGTTTCATATAACTTGCTTATGAGTTGAACACCTCTTAAAATACACAAGAGACATTTGTTATCAAATTAATTCTTATGGTGAATCTTTTTTTTTTTTTTTTACAATATTTGAAATTACTTTGCAATATAGTAACTCCTAAATTTAATCCATTTTTAAGTTTCACAGTTTTACATATTAAGGTTGCTGATGACAGGATAAACCAGATTAGTAGCTTACAATTACGAGGGCACCGATTAACTTACTATTGGCTAAATCGAGCTTTTCTTCAGAGAGAACTGTTCCTCTTTGTACAGTTTCCCAGATCTCGGTGTCTGTCTGTCTGTCTCTCTCACATACACAAACACACATTCTCCCTGTGTCTTAACTCATACTTCAAATTTGGCAAGTCTAGCCTAAATTATAATGCCATGCATAAACTTTTCACTTTCCAATACTCATTCCACATTCCTCACCCTTATTTAACCACATGTCTCACCATTGTTCAAAACGGGTATGCTTTCCATGGTGTCTGGATCATCCATAGTATCTAGAGTCTTCAAGGCATCTGTCTCAGGTGGTGGCCTTTGTAAGCGCATGCTGGAAGTTGAAGCTTCTCCAGCTGAGAAGCAATATCTTTAGGTCACCCTCAAGATGGGATTCAGGAAAAGAAGTATTCTCTTTCATTTTCTCTATGACTCGGCTGTCCAGGGCCTTTTTTCCATAAATCCAGTCAAAAATTAGAGAAGTGATGATTCTTCTCAACAACTATCTTACCTCAAAAAGGTTCTACTCTTTTGACATAAATAGGGAAAAGCAGACCTCGACCTCGTAACTAGATTCTTTGAGACTGGAGTGGAAGTGAAAGCCAGTTTTATTTGGGACTATTTTATAGGTTTTGAAGTATCAATTACAATGGCAACAAGGACTCCCATAGAAAAGGTTGAAATAGTTCATGAAGGACAGAGTAATCAACTACAGCTCATGTTCTCCCTCAATTCCCAAGTCCTTCTTATCTATGGCTTATCCCAATACATCAGGTCAAACTGTCACCTGATACTCGTACCAGGAAAAAAAAAATCACTCAGTGACAAATATTTTGTCATAGTAGGGATGGAATAAACAAGGTCAGTCGATCCCCTAAAGCCTGCATTTACACTAGTAAGTCTCACATGCTGTATTGAGACTCCCTGCAAGAGACCCCATTCTGTCACTGGGGTAGTTTCAGGAGACAACGGTACCTGTTCTCTGAGGAGTCCTGACTAACTGGCGGGATTGAATCACACACATGAAAAATTTCAGATGCAATTCCTTTTTACGCATGGCTTTTTCCTAGAAATAGAGACAGAGTTTAATCCCAAAATTTGTGAAATGATTAAGATGGACAAAAGTGACATGGACCAGGTATGCTCAGTACTAATAGACCTGACAGTCTAAAAATCAGCATATGAAGTGATACAAATAATTTACTTTTATACAGCTGACAGAGCAAGATCCCTGAACTCAGCAAGCATCCCCCTTTCCCACCTGTTAAGAGTAGCTAAAAGGTGGGGGGCCCTCCAGAGGCTTCCATTCTTCAAGTCTGAGCTCAGATTGTGACTGTCATCTGGGTCTAGACTACCTACTCAGAGTAATTTCTCCAAGACTTCTAGACAGGGCCTAGGCCCAGAGGCCCACCAAATTGAGGGGCTTGGTAAAAAATCTGAATGAATATATTTCTTTCCATTATCTTTCTTAAAAAGTATGTCGCAGATAACAGGTTAATTACTAGATTAACACCATTCAGTTCTTCAGAGGGCATATGCCTCGGTCTTTTCCTATTTTTACTCATAAAAGTAGGTCACTGGTGGACTCCCAATAGCTTTTTCTATACCCATGTTCCCAACTCCTACAGATTTTGGAAAGTTTGACATGTTTACAGAGGCTAACCTATGCCAATCCCAAACTGCTTCCCCTCCCCTCTTTCTTTTTCCAAATGGCCAATCAAGCATGATGTGGTGCAAAGAGTACAGGACTGCAAGTTAAGAAACTTGTTTCATAATTCCAGACCTGCCATACATTTATAACTTTGGGAAATGATTTCACTTCTCTGAAACTATTAGACTAAAATATCTCCAATATTCTCCAATAACCTCTATAAGCATTAACGTTCTGTAATTCTCAATAAAACACGATGTAGCCTGAGCTCGATTTAGCTCTCAGATCTACATTAGTCAAGGTGATCACAGGTTCCCGCAGATGGAAGGCCACAGAGTAGGCTGCCATGGAAACCAGAGCCTAAGCACAAAATCGCGAAGCGGAACCAGAAGGCGGCGGGTTAGGGGGTCGAGGGAACAGAGAAAAGCGAAGGACGAAAGTCACACTAACACCACTCCGAGAACAAGAAAAAGCCCAAACTGAAAGAGGAACAGGAAAATTAGGACCACAGCCTTAGACGATCCCTTGCTTCTCAGGCCTCGCCACACTGCGCAGGCGTTTTGCGAGTCAACTCTGCTCTTTGACCTCCCGCCCCACCCTCCTCCTCCTCCGCAGCCACCCAGCGGCTCTTCCGGTATTGTGGAGGCGGTTCCGGTTCGCGGAGGTTCCCGGGTTTTGCGTTCCGCGCCCGGCCGGAAACCCCTTCGTATAGCAGCCGGTTCCGGTTCGGTGAGTGGCGGCGGGAAGCTGGGGGAGGGGTGAGGATGGAGGGAGCCCAGGCCGGGAAGCAGTGCTGCTCCGGGCCGGGTAGCCTGGGCTGGGCTGGGCGGAAGTGGGGACGGCTGTGGGAAAGGCGCTTTTTCCCCTGCCCCGCCCCCTGGGACCACCTCCCCTCCCCCCTGCTGTCCGCTGGCGGGGATCTGGCCGGCGGCCGTTAGTTAGGCTTCCCGAGGCCGTTCCTTCAGGCCTTTTTCTCTTGGGCTGTGGGGAGGCCGTCTCCGTACCGTTGCGGGAGTCCTCATCTCACTGCCCAGCCCTCCTCGCAGGGAACAGGCCGGCTGGGATTTCGGGGCTTTCCCGCCAGAGCAGGGTCGACTCTCAAGGGAAAGCTGTTTTCACCGGGAATCTCAGCTTTCTGTTACACCTGCTTCACCTCACGCCTTCCTTGAGACCTGAATGATACTACTTCTGCGTCTCACGTAAACATTTCGCCAACTCTTTTACTCTGGTATCTCCCTGAGATGATAGTGCCACCACCAGAAAGAAACGTCTGGACCCTCCTGCCCAGGTTATGAAAATCCCCTTAACCATCACAGTTTGCTTACCTGGCTCATCGCCTCCTGGTAATTCCCTTGAACCGTGCCTTTCTTGGTGTATCCTAACGTGGTCTCTGGATATATGCCCAGTTTCTCTTGAGCTTGGTGATTTCTGTTTATCGGTACCTCTGCAGTGTTTTCACTATCTTGTTGGCAATAACTTGCTCCTTTATCACTTTCAAGTCAGCCTTGTTAAAGTCATTTCACTTCACGTTTGGTACGCTTATTATATTTCGGGGGGGGTGATTTTTATAAAATTTATATAAAGCCTTTTATAGGCTACCAACTATTTGACTCAGAGTCCATGTTCTAATTGGATATTCTGGATTGAATAGATCGCATCATCTCCTAAATCTTTATTCTTTATAAAGATAATTTGTGTTAAGGACGCGGATTGAAAGATAGATTACACTAAATTCGAAATTGCAGTTACAGTGAAACCTTAAGCATCTTTTTAAGCATGATCCCTTAGCTTTCTTACAATTTAGAGATCCCCTTCCTTTTTTTACCCTCTAGTTCCATTTTAGAAGCCTCATGCTTTTTATCCTCAGATGCCTCATTCGTTTTTACCTGATTCCAATTAATTACCCCATCCGCAAAGATGGTTTTCATATCACCTATTCGATACGTTAAAGAGGGAGCAAATGGATTAAAAAACAGGTTCTGCTACTTCAAGCTAAGGTGATGTAACTCATAACTACTGCTTTGGAAGTCTTTCCTTTACCTAACTTACACACCTACCAATTGTACCAGCTCTGTTGTCTTGCTGTAAGTATCCCTTTATGCATCTGACTTCCCCCAGTAGACAGTGAGCGTCTCAGCAGCATAAGGAACCACCTTATTTTTATCCCTGGTACCCTGCATGTAATTGATGTACAGTAAATGTTTGTGTACGAACGACAGTGAATACTTAGTGTTTAAGGTGTTGGTGTCTAATTGGGAGCGAATACATGTAAAAATATGAAAAACAAAAACAAATAATGTGATATAGTACAAACTGTATCATATACATAATTTTCCAGAGTTCAGAGTAGAGTGATTCACATGATCACTTCCACACCCTTTTCATATCATAAATTCTAACCACATCTTGTTCCTGGATAAAGCTAATTGTACAGTGTTTCTCCACAGTATATACTTTCTAGTAACTTCATAGCTCTAAACATTCTCTTGTAATCACCTCTTTGCATGTATGTAAGTTTATAAATGTTCTACCATACTTGTTACATTTTGTTACTGTCCAGGACTTTGCCGTTATTTTTTTTCTTTCAGATTTCTTGTCTTGTGTTTAGCTACTAACCTGACTTCACCTGAATTATCTGTAACTGCTTATGTTCTTTAAATAAGTGACCAATGTGAATTAGGAAATGAGTTTTTAAAATACTTTTCTTAAAAAGAAAAAACTTTTATGCTTGCAAGAATTTGGTGGCATCAGTGGTTCCAGATCCAGCATTTCATGTTGAATCTTGGGGTAAAATATCCCTTCTCCCAATGTAATCGCAAAGTGGCAAAAAGAAAGTACCGTAAGCACACTGAAGAAGCTGGATATGTTTGTATTAAAATGTAAACTTGGGGCTTTAATTATTAAAATTATAAAACAGCAGGGAGTCCCCAGAGTTAGCTAGGGATTACTTTTATCTTGCTAAAGTGTATGAATCCCTGAATGAAGATATGTTAAAGGATGTAAAGTTTTGTAACGTTTGTTGAAAGCACAATTGGTTGAGTCAGAATACCTGGACTTTTTTCCCTTTACCCCATCTGTGTGATTTTAGGCAAGTGACTTAAACTTCTCTGGACATAATCTTAAAAATTCTTTGATTTCTTGTTTGCCTCTCTCTTCACATCTATTCAGCAATGCAAAAGAAGTTGAGATGGGACTGTTGTACTGGGCACCAGGTCTTTAAATTGGCATTCTTCTTAGTACAACAAAAAAAGGCTAGTGATGACAATTATGAAATGGCCTGATAGAATGAAATGTGAAAAGGCTCCTGCTAGTTTATTAGTTGAGGGTATTGTTTTTCCCTCTTAATCTGAGACCCAGGGAATTTTGTTTTATTAAAAAAAGAAAAAGAAGAAGAAGAGAAAAGAGTAACCTGAAAAATTTCCAGACAGAAGCCTTTTGTTAAGTTGAACATTTGGAAATATTTGAAGCCTAAATCTAAGGCTTAAATTTTGGGGGAGACCAGATATTCAGATGATTACTCTACTTAGTCTATAGCTATGCCAAGAAAAGCTGAAGCAGCCTTCTTTGTGTGCGCACTTTGTTGTTGTGACCATAAAGAATATATATGTGCATCAACCAGTCTCCTTAGTAGATTGAAACCCTGATATCGCTATGTAGTTGAAGTACTCAATCTTTTTAAAAAAATACAGTGATAAGATTATGAGTAACGTAAGTGTGACTATTACCTAGTCTTCCCCTCTTGGAAATCTGCCAAGAAGCATGTGTGCAGGGAGTATGTTTATTAACCTAATTCCAAGCAGTTAGGCTTTTAACTTCCTTTTTCTGGGAAAATTACATACATCAGAGGAGAAAATAATTTCTTATAGGCAAAGGGGCTTTGGTTTTTAGCAGTTTGATTAATGATGGGGGACAAAGTACTTAGTATAACTGCAAAGTAATCCTTGATTGTCCTCAGAATATCAGTAGCTTTGGCCACTTTGTAAGACCTATGTGGAACAGAAATCTTAGTAGGACCACCACAAGATGTATCACTTGTTTATGAAATGGTTTAGCATGAAGTAATAGAGCAATGGATTGGGAAGAATTTCTAGGCTGTAATTTCAGTGTAGTCACTAACCAGTTTTATGATCATATGCAAATTTATCTCCAAAGGGTTGACTCTTCCAACTTGCTTCTTGCTGTACTATTCTGTGATGCTGTGGGTAGTCTGTAATTGCTGTTTACTATAGCGTAGATTGTAGAATTATTGAAACTACCTCAGGCTAGTTTTAGTTCTCATTCTCTTATCAAGTCAGCTCTCCTTTACCACTTTATCTTTTTTTCCACTAAAAACACAAACGTCAGTTCTGAGTGGATTCCTGTTTTAAAATCAGATGAAGGAGATATTTCAGTGTATAACGTTTCTGTTTTCTGTTTTCTTTTGTAGGACTTTGTATCTGCTGAAGTCAGTGATGTGAAAAGACCTGTCATGGGTAAGAGTTTTAGTTAAGCTGGAGTGAAAGAATAGATTTTCCTAACATTTTAAATATTTACATCTTTGCGCTTAATAATTTTTAAGGGAAATTTCATCCTAATCATGTAATACCAAACAATTTTCTTTTGGTTGAGATGTTGTTTATAGCATTGTTTGGAAGCATTTTCTCATTCCTTGTATTGAAAAAGCCAAATATACACTAGTAGACGTTTTCTATGTTCTAGGCCCTGTTCTAAGTACTTAAAATACATTCACTTAATTTTTTATAGTTACCTTACAAGTGTACCTTATAGTACGTATTATATCCATTATATCAACAGGTAAACTGAGACACAAAGTTAAGAAACATGCCTAGGGTCACACTGTTATAACTGGCAGAAGCAGAATTTAAACTCAGGCAGTTTAGTTCCAGAGTCCTTATTCTTTAGTACTGTTATACTTCCTTCTATAAGATAAATAATTTGATTACGGTAAATTTTAAATTTTATTTAGCTAATGGCACTGACAATTAATTGTGATTGGAACATTTTCCGCTATTCATAGTACTTTATGTATGTAAAGAGGATCAGTGTAAGGAAGGTCAGGACTAGTTGCCAAATTAGGAATAGGTTGAAAATCTGTACAGTTAGATCTTATATCATCGCATATGCTCCTTTTATATCCTCATTAGCCCTCTCTCTCCTTTTGCTTTGTCTGCCTTCTCTCTCTCCCTCTCTGTCTCATTCGTTTCCCTTTTTTCTTATTGCTAATCTCATTGTAAGTCATTGAGTTTCCTCGCTCTCATTTGTTCCTATTTTAGCTCTTTTATAACAAAGTAACAAAGGTCTCAAAATGCTTATAAAGTAAGGTTCTGTCACAGTTTTATAGTGATTGAGCTGATGTCCATTAAGAGCCACATGAATAAATTATGCTTTTTACAGAAAAAGATTTTCAGGTGGATTAATTTTTAAAGCACCTTTTTGAGTTAGAAGGAATAAACCAGTGTTGACAAGTGTTTGTTTTAAATGGTGAATTTTTTCCCCATTTTTAAAATACTTTTATTATTTTTAAAACTTTGAATCAAGATCTTGTTATTACTTGTTCAAGTTTTGGACGATTTGTTGGTGATCTCAATTCCAAAGGACCCTGTTTCTGTACATGGGCCTCTTTCTTTGACAATGACATTTTGAGATCTCTTGCCAATGGTTATTTATGAAGGAGAGGTTTTTTTTAACTGTAGAGCTGTTCTTTGGGACTCATTTTTATTAAGTGAAAAGATTGGTTCATAAGAATGTAGTTATTAAAGAATTATATGTCTTGAACTAATCTGATCTCTTTCCCCAGATGATATTGCTGATAGGATAAGAATGGATGCTGGAGAAGTAACTTTAGTGAACCACAACTCCATATTCAAAACCCATCTCCTGTCACAAACAGGTTTTCCAGAGGACCAGCTTTCACTATCTGACCATCAGGTTAGAATTAGTTTTCTTCCCTTAATTAATGAATTATTTTGGCCTAAGTTTTCATCTGATGTAGTTTAAATGCCACACTCAAAAGTACAGGCACACATATAAACTTTTTAGAATCAGTAAGTCTAGTGTTTGGATTTCTGTTTGATATATTAAAGTTAAGACAAGAACTATGTTATGATGTTCTTTGAGAAAATAGTAACTTTGAGAAAATTCTTTATTATTCTTCTGAATATTACAGTTACCAATACCTAGATCCGTGTTCTTTTAAACTAGTGTCTTAAAATTGCTGAGCATTAAGTGGGATATGTGTGTGTAAATATACAACAGCTCTGAGATTTCTCCGTGCTATAAAGTTTAGATTCTTAAAGAATCAGCATCACCTGGGAGCTTGTTAGAAATGCACAATCTCAGGCTTCACCTCATACCTACTGAATTATAATCTACATTAAAAAAAAATTTCTAGCTGATTTATATGCACATTAAAGTTTGAGGAGCAGTATTTAAAAAGCCATCTTTCTCAGTAGGAAAGCCATTACTAATTTGAATGAGGCGATCCTTTGCTTTGTGAATCTGGCTTGAGCATATGTTAAGCATCCTTGGCCTCTGAGTACTAAATACCTGTAGCATCTGCCCCAAATAATTATTTTGATAACTGAATATATATTCATACATTTCCAGATTTATACTGGGTTGCAGCAGCACCCCTGATGAAAAACTCTATAAAGTTTTCAAAAGAATCGAAACTGGGTCAGTTTTGTCCACTGTTTTGATAGATGGTAATAGCTAGCTTTCAGAACAGGATATACTAAATGCATATTTACCTTCTAATGAACATTCTTTGAATTAAGTTGTATAACAGATATGTTACCCATTTTTCCCTTTGAAGCCTCAGTTATTTCATCAGATTATCTGCATGTTTTCCTTTCTTATTAGTATGTTTATATATTTAAATCTAATTTATTATATTGAGTTCTGAAATATTGTTAAAATCTCGTTTAATGATACATTTCTCTTAGTAGAAATTTTTATACCATTTTATTGTCAAAAGTATGATTTAGGAAAAATCTTCTGCTTTGTTTAGATATTACCTTCCAGGGAAGGAAATTTGGACCGATCTTATACATGTTCTACAGGAAGTGCAGCTTATAGTCCAAATTATTATTCAGGTATGACATATTACTTGGAGTCAAGATATTTATACCTTTCAGATTTCTTACTAGCAAATCATTTTTGTCTACCATCTCTAAAAGTACAAAAGCATTGTCACAATCAAATGGTATTTTCTCCACTAAAACATTATTTTAGTAAGCTGTGTGTGCATGTGTGTGTGGTTCCTATGATACTTTACTGATTTAGTCTCAACCAAATATTTTTTAATGGGAAAGTTTTTGAAATCCATTCTCCTTGTTTATTATGCCATTGTAAAAATCACTATAGCTTTTTTTTTAGATATGTGTATGTGATGTAAAGGCTATTTGTTTTGTATTGATTAAAGCACAGAGCTAGCCTATTTCTATTCTGCTTGAACCCATGAATCTTGAAAGTTTATTTCTGCTCAAGCTTATCCCTCCATCAGGGCAGGAAATGTTAACTACATATCTCTGTCTAGCACCTGCCACAGCCATGCTTGCATATTTCAAGGGCTTGCCTATTCAACTTGTGATCCATTACAGAAGTCAGCATTCTCTAGGGTATTCTGTCTCGCCCCTGGTCTGCCTGACTTTTCATCTCTCCCACCTAAGGTTTGGACTTCAATGATCTTCTGGCTGTCTTGGGGGAAATGAAGAGATTTTTGTTGGTTAGCCTCTTGGCAGTATGACCCAGGAAGATTATAGTGTCTTCCCATGTCTTTTCACTCCTCCTGCTTCAATCTCCTCACCTTACCACAAATATGGGAATATTAGTGATACCATTGAACCTGTCTCAATGGGATTTTTATAAGGATAAATCGAGATAATATATATGAAATGCAAATAATAATTATTGTTGTTATTTGGCTTCCTTAGGATTCTTTGTCAGCAAGATGAGATCTCCTCCCCTAAAAAGACGTTAGTATGATGCTCTTTTAGATTTATGTTATATTTAAATGTCATTTAGGTGGGTGGTACGTTAGCCTGGGCACTGGATTTCCTCACCTGGGATGAGGAGTGGTCTCCACATAGTGTGTGCATAATTTGTATAGAAAAATTTGCTACAAAAGTAACTCTGCCATAATTATTATTGAAAAGACCTTGCTGATGAGCAGAGAACCTGATATCTGATTTGATAGCTCATTATTAATCGTAGAGGAAAGATAGTTGAGTGGATAATGAAACCAGATTGTTAATATTTCCATTTGAACTTAGGTGTGTTTCCCTGTAATTTCATATGCTGGACTTAACATTGGACAAAATATTTGTTTTTAGTTTAAAGTAATTACTCAACAATTAATAATTTTATATAGAAAATTATACTCAAAATCATTTGACCACAGTTCAATTCTTCGTGGCTTTTTCTTATTTTGACCTGTGTTTACATGCACAGTACACATTGTATGATTTGATACATATAATCTTTTTTTAGCCTAACATTTTTATTTTCACTTTCCATCTGTTTACATGTTATTCTTCATATTTACCTTTTTCTGTTGATTTCCGATAATTCATGGAATTGATATGCACATTTATAATTCTTTATGTGCAATTTTAAAATCCAGAAGGCTCTGAAAACCAGGTTTTTTTCATAATTCATTTGGCATCAGAATTTGACCTGAATTCATTCCTGACATGAAACTCTATTTTATCTTTTATTTATCTCTGTAAATATGAGTATTTATGTTTTACTGCATATATATCAATATCTTTGATTATAGCGTGCTACTTCAGATTATACTTAGAAATGTTCCATACTATATTCCAGGTTATCTTTCCAAAATTCCAAAATTTTTGAATTCAGAAACAACTAAACTCAAAGGGCTGTGATTTAGGATAATAGGTCTGTGCCTTCATTTGCTTTATTATTTTCCCTATGGCTTAGGTCCCATTCACCTTCACCATTTTCAGCTATTATAAATAATGTGACTTAAAAACATTTGTATACGTAGCTTTTGTCTTTTAAATTTCCGTAGCCCTTCGATATTCACAAAATATATATGTGAAGTCATCTCAAACCATCATATTCATTACTATGATGATACTTGACCAGATTCCTGGCTTTCTACTCAGTTACATGATTCTTGAGAGTTAAGTTTTCCCATTTGTCTTCATACCACAAGTTGATCCCTATGTCAGAATCTTACACTGAAGTTTTATCTCTCACTTGAAGGCCCTCTTTTTAGGAAAAGAAAAAAATTATAACAGTTACTGTATACATGATGATGAAAAGAAAATGACAGTGAATAGTAAAGCTACATTGAAATGAGGATGTTTAGCTATTAGATTCATTCTCTAAATTACAGCCTAAAGCAGAGGATTCAGATTTGCGAATTTCTACCAAATTTCATCTAGTTGCTGACAAAACAAACTTAAGGCATGTCACAGACCTCCAGGGTCACTCCCAACAATCAGAATTTTAAATCTTCAATGCCAAGGGTCTTTAGGGTCTGTATACTTTTTTCTTATAATAAAGTCTTTAATTCAAATCTACTTTTTATTGTGTACTTTTAAAAACTTGTTCCTTTGCCACATCCATTCCAATTCATTGCATATCCTGTAGAATTTTGTCTCTGCTATCTTCTTTGGATGTATTCTTTCTTGATAATTCCCACATTGATTTCTGTGGTTAGTCACCTCAAGCCTTACCTCTTGATTGGGATAAACAATGAGTCCGTAGTTTACTACAGTAGTCTTCTCTCTGACTTTATTGGTATTTGTCTCTTCTCTCACCTTGCTATCCTTTTCTCCACCAAGGTGAAAACACAGGAAAGCCCCAAACTTTAGAATTGAGGGTTTGGAGCTTTCTATTTACTGCTTTACTAGATCTGCTTCTCTATATTAAATTTTAAAAAAATCTTCTTAATCCACTTAAGATTAGGCTATGGAAAACATTGATTTTTTAAAAGTTTTAGAAAGTAAAAAAAATGTGCCACTTCTACTTTAATAACTAGTGCTGGTCAGACTTCAAGACCTCTTGATTTTATAAGGAGTACAATTGGAAAGAAAATTAAAACATTTTAAGCCCTAAACGAAGAAAAGTAGATTAAGTTGAAAAGAAATGATTTCCTCATGCTTAGAATTTCTATCAATGTCTTCTCTTTGGAAAATATGTTAAATTAGGTTGTCAAACTGGCATTTAGTAGGTCAGATGATTTAAAGCATCCTCCTGTTTATAATAACTAAATCCTAAAGTGAACAGGAGCAACTGTTGGTTACTTTTATAGTAAGTGATTGGCTGATACGCTTTTTTAAAGATCTGACGTTTATTTCATTATGTCCATAAAAGTATTGCTTAACCTTTTAGAAAATTTATAGAGAAAGGTAGAAAAATATCCATCATTCTATTATTGGAACATAACCAAAATTAAATTTTTGGTGTATTTCCTTATAGTTTTGTGTGTATTTATGTGCATATAATAAGTAATCTTATTTGTGGTATTTGAAGTCTCATTTCTTAATGATGACGGAATGAATACCAAGTTAAACTATCACTTAAAAAAGAGTGTCTACAACCTTCTGTTGGTCTCTCTCTGGCTTTGCTTGATTATATTAGCAATAGAGGACTATTCAGTGATTTATTGAGAGGGGATAGAACCACTTTATTCTGGTTAAACAGACTGCTTGATCCAGTTATTTTCCATTGCAGTTTAAAGAGGAAGCCTCTGTAAACATGCCATTGAGGAGGCTATTCTGTGTTATTCTTAGTCTCAAATTTCACACCTTTTAGGGTAACTTCCATTTTTTGGTAGACATCTCTAGTTCGGTCATTCCCTAATCACATTTTAGCAAAAAAGTGTGCGAGACGAAACTTCTATTGTTATTACTTTGCATTTAAAGATAATTCTCTGGTACTTTAATGAGACTCATTTTAATTAGCCTCATGTCTATATCCTTAAAGTAATGGTAATAGATGCTAAGCATGGATAATGATTACACAGGAAAAGATTATAATTTATTTTGAAAGTAAAGTAGATTAGGTTCATCCACTGGTGAATCAAGTAGTTATACCACCCCTCCTGACTGCTGCTTTTTTTCTTCCTTATTTGCTGTGAATCCAAATAATTTTGATCAACTAAAAAAAAAAAAAAAAATTTGTTTGTTGCCTTTTTGGCTAGAGTAACAAAAGCTATATTAAATATTTTAAATAGCAAATATATAACATTGTGCAAAGTTCTATAATAATATGCTTTAAAAGAGGATCTTCAAAATGATATCAACATTAGACAAAAATTTAGGAAGTAGAGAATTATTCTTGTTTTTCCACTGGTGCTCCTCGGAGTTCCATAGCCTAACATCTGAAGTTATTTTAATTATTTTGAAGGCACTGTTTTAAATTGTCCAGTCCTGCTGATAAGGAGAGGAGGGTATATAAATTATTCTATTCTTAGCTGAAACTTCGAGAGATATTTTATCACCCCAGTTTGTAAGCCACAAGTCAGAAAATTCAAACAATAAATAATTCTTACTCAGTCTGATTGCAGTAGCAAACATTGGAATATTGATATGTCTGTTGATTATGGCATTAAGTGACTGAAGGTTAACATACCAGAACCAGATGCATATGATGGGTCATTTCTGCCATAAGCTGGCCAGAATAAGCAGCAATTAGGTTATCTCTGTTCTTAGATCCCCTGAGTTGTGAACATGGTAATTAAAAACAAGAGACACCAGCTGCTTATTAAACAATAACTGTTGTACATTTGAATTACAATTCTCCTTGGCCCTCCACCTGCTTTCTTACTGGTCTGGCCTACCTTCTTTCAGGCCCAGGCCTGGGAGTGCTTGCAAGATATAGTTGGGGTAAAATGTTGACTTTTGGTGGACACCACGGAGTCACATTGATGCAGATAAGGCACATGGCTGTGGCAGGATTCAGCTCCTTCAACAATTTTCAGGTTAGTATGGCTGAATCAATTATAGTTTGTAGAAGTTCCCTTACTGCAGACTTTACTGGCAGTTGAGACTGGGATCTTCCATGAGAGACATGGTACTATGCCACATTACTTTGGAATACAATGTTGGACGTGGTTGCAGTCATATGGAGAACCACTATAGGTAATTGTTTAATTTATTGATACTTTTATTCTTTTAGATAATCCTTCCTCAGACAATTTTCTTGGCTCAGGAGATATAAGAACCTTTGGCCAGAGTGCAAATGGTCAGTGGAGAAATTCCACTCCAGCATCAGGTTCAACTTTCCAAAAATCAAGAAACAGCCGAAGTCTTTACCTCGAAACCCGAAAGACCTCAAGGTAGGTATTCCAGCTGCTTTAGTTTACAAGCCCTTCTCGTGATATAAGAAAAAATGGCTGTAAGATAGTCGTTACATTTGCATTTTAAAAGAATAACACCATTTTTGAACTTTGAAGCCATAGAGATATGGACAAGTCCATTTTAAACGTTTAACTTTTAATTTACTTGATGCTGGATTTTGGTGACAGCCAAATCTTACCAGTAGAGAAGAGGGGTTTGAAGGAAATCTTGATGGATGTGAGTATATCGGGATCCTTCAGGATCAATATGGCTGTTATGAATTTCAAAGCGAAAACCAGTCAATTCCTACAACTTTAGCAGCAAAGAAACCAGCACGTTTTGTGGGCTGTCACGTGAACAGAGACCTGACTTAAACCAAAGCAGCTCTGTACCTCATGATCTTAGTCAGCTAGTCCTAAGCTACTTCTGTTGGAAAGTAGAGTCACAACTTTATCCTACTTAGCTCAATTTCATAAGCCCTACCTATTCCTTCACCAAGCTTATAATGATTATTAAAGACAGATGAAGTTTGGCTTAGAAACTTTTCCCTTAGGCACTTTATTGTAATAGTGGTAAAATATTTCTTTTTTAAAATACTGTTTATGGCTTCTCAAATTTTACTTTGGTTATCAGGATTTTAGGAATGTGGTATCATTTAATTTCCTGCTTAGTCAAGGCTAACCTTTCTGGTGTTGACTGAAACCAACAAGATGTTTTTTATTTTGTTTTGTTATTATCAGCACATGGACTCTGGAGACATGTCAGTACTCCCGGGGATCATTTTCCCATTTCTTAACATTTAAAATAATCATACCAGACTATATTAATACATTCACGTTGTAAAATTTAAAACATTGCCAATAAAGCCCAAGAGCTCTTGACCATTATCCACAATCTTATTCTTCCCTCCCTTTGGTGTGTTTCTTTCCAAACTTTTTCCTAGGCTTGTATCTCTTTCATTCTCTTACTCATGTACAGCATCAGATAGATGCTACATGTACTATGAAATGTATAATATTACTTTGTTTTCATTAAAGATACTCTGTATGCATCATTCGGCAAGTTGCTTTTTTTACTCAGTAATGCCATACTCTTATTTGTTAAAGTAATATTATTCACAAACAGTACATGTGCTTTGTAAAAAGTAGGAAAATGCTGATAAGCAAAAATAAGAAATAAAAACATCTCATTCCTACCAGTCAGAGATCACCTCTGTAACATCTTAGTACATGTCCTTCCAGATACTTTTCTCTGCACTTACACACATTTTTTTCAAAATGAGTTTATATTGTCCATATGCTTTTGTAATCTGCTTTTTCAGTCAATCATCTCTTCCATTCAGTAAATTTTGTCTTGTATACTAACAATTATATTTAAATTTTCTTATTTGACCCAAAAGTTATCCTCTTAGCTAATTTATCCAAAAGTAGCTATCACCCTTAAGTCTCTTACAATCTAGAACAGACCTTTTTTTTTTAATGACATGACATTTTTCTGCATAATGTTCCACCTTTTGGATTTGACATTTCTTTCTCATAGTATCATTATTTTCTCCTCTGTCCTCTATTTTTTGTAAACTAGATATTTGACTTGAAAAAAGGCTGATACTGTGGTAATATCATATTAGAAATCCTATAATATCATTAGTGGTGCTGGATTAACTTCTGGGTTGGGGAGATAACAATCTGGTCCTTATTTGGTTAGGTTTTTCCCCCTGTGACTAGAATGTAATCTAAATGATGTTACTTTGTCATTAGTGAATGACCAGTTTCCCATCAGCCTAATAGTTATTAATATCAATTAATAATCTTCTCTGATAATTTTTTTAATTGAGGTGTAATTGACATATAACATTGATTTTAGGTGTACAGCATAATGATTCAATATTTAAATATATTGCAAAATGACCACAATAAGTCTAGTTAACATCTATTACCATAGTTATAAATTTTTTTTCTTATGAGAACTTTTAAGATCTCTCTTAGCAACTTTCAAGTGTGCAATATAGTATTGTTAATTATAGTCACCATACTGTACATTATATTTCCACGACTTATTCATTTTATAATTGGAAGTTTGGATCTTTTGACCCCGTTTGACCTGATAATTTTATTAGAGTTAATTAAATAATACTTTTCTAATTTTATCATTTCTTCACTTACTAATCGGCACTCTGCTATAAAGGAGAGCTTTTTCCCCTCATTAGCTAGGGCTATTTGTTACCCTGCAATACATTTCCTACTAGGAAGGCAGGATATATGATTAGATCTTTGTTTTTCATTACAAATTTTCAAAGTTTTTTTTTTTTAATAGCTACTTCATGTGGGTCAAATGAATTTTCTTGTTCTTTTTTTTTAGTCATTATGGATTCAGTGTGTTTCAATCCACTACAGTCATTATTTTTTTAATACTCACATTCTCACAACTTTGGCCAGTGGGAGCTCCTTCAAGCTTGCTCCTGTGTCTTGTTCAACTCTTGCTTTCTGGCGGCATTGCAAGATGCCCTCACACTGTTTCTTTAGGAAAAAAACTTCTGCATTAAAAATACAACACACACTCTCTGGGAAACATAAATACAAAAGACATCGTAGGGAATTCATTATGTCTTTATCAAATAGATTATATATATTGCCCTTACCGTCTTTTCCTAGCTGCATCCAACCCAGCTAAGAAAATAAGCCTGTTCCTGAAATTCTGAGTCCTTGCTCCTATTCCTATTCTAACACACATAGAAACCATCAGCATTTGAAGCGTTAAAGAGAGAAGAGTATATGTGCATTTTGATTTTCTTTAGCTCTAGTCTGATTTTATTTGGTTTTAGACCACATGCATTGATTTAAACAGTTGATTTCATTGATTCATTTTAGTCATCTATCTACCTCTATTTTGTATCCTCAGCCAAAAAAAAAGAAAGAAAATAAATTATATTGATAGCAAGTACCTCAGATTTGCTGAACACATAGAAAAAACTGTAAATTATTTACCAGTCTTAGAGATAAGCCTGGATTTTGAGTTCACAAAAATATTTTTTCTGCCATTTTTTCCATTAATGGGGCACAAATAGCATAAAGAAACAAAAACAAAATTCTCCTTTAGAAGGAGATAAACAGGCTGGGAGAGTTCACAGAGAGTGTGCAGCCTAATAAAAAACCTGGTTGTTTTTAATGAAGGATGGGAGCCCTCTGTTGGTGTTTTAGGAAATTTTAAAATTCAGTTTAAAAGCTTAGTTGAGAGGCTTCAGTTTTATCCATCTTTTAATATTTACTCTTAAAATAATTCCCTCAAAAGGGCTTGGGATAGGGGCCTGTGGGGAGTAAATAGAAAATGTATGTGTATGTTAACATACCCAGGTTTTCTGAAGATGTTTAATCTGATAAGCTTTCTGTCATATCACACAGGTCTATGGTTCCTAACCAAAGGAACTTACAGATTGTTAAGCTAAAACATACAGTTTTAGGTGTTTGATACTTACATAGTTTGGCAGTCTAAGACCTCTTAAGTGGCAGAACCTGGTGCAGCAACCCATGTATCATTTCTTGTATATTTCCCTCCAGTGGTACATCTATCATTCTACCTATCAATTTCTTGTGTTTGTTATTTCTTGAAAGTAAAAGTAATCACTAGTTTGGATTTTCTTACTTTACTGTTCTTACCTTATAAACTTTGTTTTTTAGTGGATTATCAAACACTTTTATGGGAAAGTCAAATCATCACTGCCATGTGTCTGCATATGAAAAATCTTTTCCTATTAAATCTGTTCCAAGTCCATCTTGGAGTGGTTCGTGTCGTCGAAACCTTTTGAGCCCCAAGAAAACTCAGAGGCGACATGTTAGTACAGCAGAAGAGGTAAGGAAAACCTGTAACAAAAGCTGCTAAAGGTTAGAATCTTTACATTCAGCTATTTGTTTTCTCTAATGTAGATGTTTATTAACCATTGTGTTTACTTAATCTTTTCTGTTTTTTCTTAATAACTTTTTGAGTGCTGTCATCTCTTCTAAAGAAATTAAAAATCTATTGGTAGGAACTTCATTATTTTTCTCACCATCTTCTATACCCGTTCTACAGTAGACTTAATCTTCAGTGTCGTCTGAATGGCTTCTCATACATCAAACTCTCTCCTCTCTTATTTGGACCTTTTCTAAACTCTTGTTTCATGTGGCAAAATTGTTAACCTGCTAGATTCAATGAAATACCTGCTGTTACTTCTTACTAGCACAATTTTTCCTCAATATAAAAGAAAAATCAAGAAGCCAGCTAAGTAATTTATATTCTTTTATTATGAGTAAGATTTTTGAGATCATAGATTTTCTCCAAAAGAAAGATGTTCTGTTGACACTGGGTTGTTACATTCATTCAGTAAACCTAAAGGAAAAAATAAATTCTGTAGGTATAATATAGCATATAATTTATCTAATAGGAAATGTGCTTATACCTGTTGGATTAAATATTTATTATGCATCTGGTCAGCTTTGAACTGTTTGCCATGAAAATATAATTGAATAATAGCAACCTTACATTTATATAGCATTAGGGTTTCCAGAGTGCTTTCCACATGTATTATTGTTTTGAATCCTTTTAACCCTGTGTTACAGGTAGAAATGAGGTAATATTCCCATTTTATAGATTTGCAAATTAAAAGTCAGAGTTCACACTAGTAATTGGCCAGCCAGCAACTCAGGTCTTCTGAAGGAATATGGTCTGGTATGCTTTCTGTTATACAACCTAGTGATGTGTTTCCTGCCCATTGGAGCGTACAGATTATGGAGAATAATTTTAAGAAGAATTTTATAATTTGAAAATCTCTTAGGTCGCAAAACTTGATTATTTGTGATATGGTTAGTAAAAATGCCGTACTTTTTTTTTTTTTTTTGAAATTTGCGTGAAATTGAAAATATTCTAGCAGAGGTGTAATAATTAGTAAATCATATTAGGAAAAAGGATAGATAAGAAACTGGCAACAGCTGATGATAAGAGCCGAGCAACAGTTACAAAAAGGAAACTTACTTTCACTGTACCTTTTGTACTATTGAATTTAGTAACATGTATATTAGTTATTATATGCTTAATTTTTTTTTAATTACTGGAGTCGAGGTCAGGCTTTGCTAGAGCTAGGCAGCCACAGAAAGACTTGTGGGGAAGGGGACAGCAACAGCATGGCAGCTAGATACAGGCCTTCCAACACTCTCCGCCCCATGAAGCTGCTCCTGGGATCCCCAGGATCCTTTAGACTATGTTCATTACGAACCCACCATTCACTTGCTAGCCAACCAGTCCTTTGGACTACTCAGCCCCTTCTCCTTTTGATTCCACTTGTAGCCTGAGGACTTGAGCTGGCCGGGCTACAAGCTGGGACAGTGGAGGACGTGAAGCTAGGATTTCTCTTCCTTCTACAGTAGTGTCAAGAAGATGCCAAGTACTGAACCTATCTATAAAACAAAAGATGAAGGAAATTTTGCCCCAATTGACTTTAGGTCTATATTCTGCTATGAAAAGTGGTAGTACAGAAACATGCAATAATCCATATAATATGAATAAGACATAATATTGGACCAAACTTTATTAAACATTCAACAGATTGTTTAGATATTGAGTCTTGGATATTACGGATAATCCAGATTAAATATAATACTTTTTTCTTCCTGGGGCTAAAGAATTTATTGATGGGAGCATACAAATTGGAGGAAAAATTGTTTTCCATGGAAACATTCATTGGGATCTCCAAGGGAGATGCAGTTGCTTATGTTAAAGAAGGAAAATTATGTATTAATCTTATGGCTGGATTTGTCCATCACCTTTGGGAATATGAAACCATGTACAAAATTAACATGACGATGCCACCACTGTACTGTTCAGTCTTACAGCAGGGGTTCCAAGAGAATACATGAAGAAGAATTTGGAGACGTGCAAATGGTGGCTGTACTACCACTTGGCTGATGGCTGATTCAAGGGTGGCATTACTCAATCGAAGAGTAATAAATAATGTACAGAGAAAGAGGTTTTCTTTTTACTTTGTAGTACCAAATGCTCCAAAAAAGGATTGCATTTGAAGTTTCAAGGGACTTACCTCTTTACATTTTCTTTTGGTAAAGCCAAATGTTATTATACACGTTCTTTTTAGAGTTGCCTAGATGATCTTTTCTTTGTCTGACGTGATTCTAAATAAAGTATAACATACTTAATGTGTGTTTTTTTTTTTTTAATGAAGTACCTTGCAACTTTTTTTTAAGATAAATTCTTGTGACCTCCAAATTAACATGTAGAACAATGGAAAGTTCTTAACATATTTTTGTAATTCTTTTTTTTAATTCCATATTAGTTTAAAATGAAAGTATAAGGCTTGAAAAGACCTCAAATAATTATTTGGAATATGGAACATTTATTCTTGTTCATTTATATCGTCTAATGACTCTGAGGTTGTTTGGGTTCGGACAGAAGCTTTTTTTTTTTTGAAGATAATTGGGGAAGATAATTTGTGGGAGACTTTATGTGTGTTAAATTGATTTTTAAAAATCAGTTCTTTAGTCTATTCTGCCTTGCGGCAGCTGCCCACTTCTCCTTGCTCACACCTAGCTAACGCCCAGGCCTGGAATTGGACAGCAGCCTCAACCACACACTCACTACCTCCTGCCGCTTTCCAGTCATGGACCCCTGCAAAGTGAGTGAGCTTTGGGCTTTTCTGAAAATGCGTAAGCAGGATCTGAGTGTTCTGCATAATGAGGAAATGTGCTTCCTGAGGGAGGAGGTAAAGAGCATGGGGGTAAAATACCACCTGTTACTCGAAAATTAACTCAGAATATCAAAGAAGAAAAAACAGTAAGAAAGTGGAGGAAAGCGTACAGACAAAGCATCAAGTGAAGAAAGTGATCTAGAAAACTGACAATAAAAATGTGATTGAACCAGATACTGATTCCTCTCAAGAAGTGAGAGATGAAAATGTAAAGATAGCTGAGGTGATAGATCAGGTAAATGATAGAAAAGTGGCTGCCATTGATGCCTTAAATGTTGGTGAACTACAGAAAACCATTCACTTGTTCACAGATGCCATCAAGCTGAATTTTTGCTTGGGCATTCTGTATGTCAAGAGAGCCAGTGCCTTTATCAAATTACAGAAGAAGCCAAGTGCCATTCAAGACTATGACGGAGCTATTGAAATAAATTCTGATTCAGATCAGCCCTACAAATGGCGAGGGAAAGCACACAGACTTCTGGGCCATTGGGGAGAAGCCAGCCCATGATCTTGCCTTTGTGTGTAAATTGGATTATGGTGAAGATGCTAATGCAATGCTGAAAGAAGTTCAACCAAGGGCCCAGAAAATTGCAGAACATCAGAGAAAGTATGAGCAGAAACATGAAGAGTAAGAGATCAGAGGAAGAACGGAAAAGGTTAAGAAGGCTTGGGAAGAATATACTGTGTAGTTGAAACTAATAAAACTTAAAAGAAAAAAGAAAATGTGACAATTTATACTTAAAAAAGAAGAAAGAGGAGGCTTGGGAGAAACATGAGAGGGCCCAGAGGGAGGAAGAAGCCAGACATTAATCAGGAGCTCAGTATGGTATTTTTCCAGGTGGCTTTCTTGGGGAAAGCCTGGAAGGGCAGG